TCCGGACCTACAAATGGGAGGGCCAAGATAATGCACAATATTTTATTTCCTTAACCCTAATCACACATCATGGATATCCAGACTACACATTCAACAACATATTGTCTTGAAAACTTGTATTAAAATAGGTAAATGGATCTTTTTGTGCCTTGTGTTCTAGTGGTAATAACCATTTTAAAGTAAGCATATGGTTGAATATTAGGGGTAACAATTTGGCCAAATTTAACTACATAAATGAAGCTAGATGAAGTTTATTCAAATAATACCTTGTTAAAATCTTTATAGCATTGGGACATCAGCATGATATAAAGCCCTCATAAAAGTGGAAACTCAATGATTATCACTTTGTTTAGTATCAATAGAAAGTGTGTTTATTCATTTTGTAAATGATGTCATATTGTAGCCATGGAATAGCAGTACATTAGAATAAGGGGGCAGTATCAAAATGAATAGTTGCAAACTGCACTGGTTAATAGTGGAATTGTATGCAAAAAAACTTTCCTTTCTTTGAAATAAGATCATTTTAGCGGTATGTAGCCATATACTGGTCAATCACATTTGTTTGATGTAGTATCAAGCAAACCTGAGTTAAATTAAAAATACTTTCTTCATATTAAAGCGAGTTTAAAATGCATCTGTTAGTTTTTGTAATTACTGCTCATAGAACTGTATGTAGGATGTTTCCCTTTTTTTTAATAACAAAAAATACATACAAATTAGATAAATAAAGTAGCACCAAAGCATTTGTAATATAAGCCCACAGCCGTTTTTTTTTCTTCTAAAAAAACAAGGTGTAAAAACTACTTACTGCTGCACACTCACATTTTACAAGCACACATTTCTATATCTGACAAATACAAGTTTGATTCTTTTAAATGCCCTGATGCAACGCTGACTTCCAGTATAACTATGATTTCTATTTAAAAACAAAAACAAATAAGGAATTTTTGAAAAATAAGAAATAACAAAAATATTGAAGCGCCACCAAAAATTGGTGCGGGCGGGGACGAAAATTACGTAATTTGTTATACTTGGCAGTATTACAATCAGAGGTATTTAAATTATAACAAATATTTATATCAGTTACACTAAAATATATATATGGTATAAAAGATGTTATACATAATAGAAGTAGATTATGCTGGATTGTTTTAATCCTCAAACTTAAAGATACACAAGGCACCCAGTTTTTGTATCTACACTTATAATATATCAGACTTATTACTAAAAATTCAGACCTACAATTAAAAAGATTTGGAAAAACAATTATCATCAATTTATAAATTTACGAAAATACAGTACATGGGGAAATTCAATTTTGATAGAAAGCGGCAAGACATTTGTGCTTGTATAGAGTACCATGAAAATCTTGAGGCCGCAATTCAAATTATAAGATTACTGTCTAAAATATTCAGGAAAATTTACCCAACATTCACCAACCAACTTTCTTGTGTGTAATTCTGAACAATGGTCTCAACCTGAAGTTGGAATAATATTACAATAACAATTCATTACAAAAATAAACAGGGCCTAGTTCTGTGTAAAATAGTTTTATATTTCTTCATATAAATTATCTTTCAATGTATTTTAATTTTTATTATATACTCAGAACTGCATAAATAAATGAAATAATATATAAAAACTATTACAAACATAATACATTCCATTACCTAAAAATAAAAGCTGTCTTCTGCTTATGAAGCTTGAAATGAACAATATAAAGATAGGCTATAACCAACATAGATAAATATTAAAAGGACCCATTGCAGTATTCTATTAAATAATGGATTGCTTTGATGAAATCCGAGTGCGGAAAAGTTTGGAACCCAATTCGAGTCTACCCGTTTGTGAAGCCGGATATATTCTCAAAGTTGCACGCAAAGGCATTGATCGTTTTGTCTGGCCAAGTCGGAGGAAAGATCTAATGCGGGTTGTTTGTTGATGGATGGCTGGCGCCGCTGTAAAGGGAGGCCCGGACGGGAGGACTTTCGCACGCATAGGCATTCATCATTTTGTGAGGCCAAGTCGTAGGAAATATCGTATGCAGGTTGTGTGATGATGGATGACTGGCGCCGCTGTTAATGGAGAACTTAAACAAAAATAATAGTCATTATTTTGTCGAGGTCATAAGTGTATACATTATTAATTTGATATTTTAATCTAAACAATGCCCCTTTTACTTTGGCAAGTGCCCCTTTTTCTCTTAAATCTATGTTCCTTTTCCCTTCTTATAAGTGCCCCTGAAAAGTTACCTCTGAAAAGTGTATATCTTACTTTAACACGCGCCCATCTTCTTTTTCAATAACTGACCCTTTCTCTTCGATAAGTACCCCTTTTCTTTTTGTAAAAAGTGTCCCTTCCCCTTTCTTATAAATGTCGTCTTTTCAACTATGATAAGTACCCCGATCCAGACCTGATAAGTTCTCTCCTTTACTTTGACAAGTGCCCCTTTTCATTTGTAATAAGTGCATTTTACCATCAAAGAAGGGCCCCTTTCCATCTCTGGTGAGTGCCTCTTTTAGGTATGAGAAATGACCTATTCCCTTACGATAGTGCCCCTTTCCCCTTCTAATAAATGCCACTTTTCACATCTGATTAGTTTCCTTGTTACTTTTGATGTGATTGGCTTTTGATATGAGTGCCCATCATTTGTTTTACCCACATTTCCCACTGCCGCTTAAAAATTGTGCCCTTATGCGATCATCTAAAGTCCCATATCTAGTTGGTTGGTTGGTTTTAACGTGACAAGGGGGCGATGGCTTTAAAGTCATCATCTCCGAGGGACTTGGTAGTAAGGACTAATGCCTTATCAAAGGGCACTAGCGCATCGACCTGGTTTCGAACCCTACTGAGCCAATGATTGCACCTTCTAGTTTCATCACCACGATGGCGAGGTGTGGCCTTCAAGGTATAAGGTATATCCAAAGAATCGGAGCAGCTTTGTGTAATAACTGGATTTTTTTTCTTCTACTACAAGAAAGGTAGTGGAGCCGGGAGAAGGGCAGGGGGCACAATGTCCCAAATTTCATAAGAACAAAGTGTGCCCCTTTTCAGAAAAACAACCGTGTTCCTTTTTTAAAGCTATAAAACGTCCCTTGCGTAAGCCAAGGTAATCAATTGACCTTTGTTCAAAAATATAAAGTTTGAGACCATGCACGTTTGATTTTTCAAACTCAACTCAAATGCATTTCCATTACCAAATGTCATTCATGTTAAAAAGACTGAGACATAATTACGATACGTGTTATATGACAAGACGTTGTTATTATCCCTCATCTTCCCAGAAACAATACACTTCTCATAGCCTCCCTAACATTTTCCCCTAATTTAAAGCGACTAAGAGTATTTTCCCCTACAAATGTCCTCCAAAACTCGCTCGCTATGTTCGCTTACTTTAAAGTTTATCTCATTAAGAAGCACATTGAAGGTCTTATTTATTATTTCATTATGAAATTGTGCTTAAAACCCCCATCTGGATAGGTTCGTATAATAACGAAAAGTAATCGTTCGTAATGTGACCTCAAAAAACCTTACAGTGTTTCGTCGCTTGCTTTATAGCCACTCGCAAGGGAATATTTAGACCATCACACACATCAGTATAGTATGGTACTGAAGCAATATCTTTGACCAAGTAGAGTAAATTTTGAAAATCATCCCTGATAATGTATTAATTACGCTCTAGGATATTTAAATATTTCGCTTTGATGTTACCCTTTGAAGGTGCCTTTTTTCTTCCAAATAATGTCATTTGTTCATGGTGCCACTCCCCCCACTTTGACAAAATACGCTCTGCCGCCCTTTTATTTGTCCAATGTTATTGTCTTGACTAAAAATCTATTATTACATTTGATGCCTTTTGCATGTACAGTGTGAGTCAAAAAAAAGTTTACACCTAGAAAATTGCCAATTGTTTTAAAAATCGTCTAAGAACAGTAAATTATTATATATCTTATACATGAGTGTTTTATCCCAAATCATTTGGAACCAATTTCGTGGGTATGTATTCACGCTTGGATGAACAGGAGGCATTGTTTGCGAGAGTGCAAAAATCGACTTGCGCCAAAGTTGCTTATGTGATGTTTGAATAAAACAATTGGGATCTGGGTATTAAGTCGGTCTTTGCAGATCCAAATAGCATCCCTAACAAAATTAATCATGCCACACATATCAAATATCGAAAATCAAATATCAACGAACATTTGTGCGCGTGTGTGTGGGTGTGTGTGACTTTGCCCTTTGCAAAAAGAATATGCAATGCATTTCATTTGATACATTCAATTCATTCTCTCACTCTGCTAACCCTAACATAATACATACTGTATGCATCACTTTGGCGCAAGTCGATTTTTGCACTCTCGCAAACAATTCCTTCTGTTGATCCAAGCGTGAACACATACCACACAAAAATGAAACCAAATGATTTGGGATAAAACACTCTTTCATAAGATGTATAATAAATTACTGTTCATATATGATTTTTAAAATAATTAGCAATTTTCTAGGTGTAAACTTTTTTTTGGCTCACACGGAATCATGAACCCCTTTTTAATTTTTGGAACTACAAACCTTTTGAATAACAATAATTTGGAATAAGAAACCTTCAGATTGATAAGCTTTTGGACTAACTGACCTTGGCAAATATTCACCTTTGGAAATATGAATCTTTGGGGGGAAAAGACATGTAACCGATCTTGATGACTTCTATGTTCGTGTGTATCTATAGCCTAATAAAGAAGTATATAGTTGAACAACAGATAGATTGATTAATTCTACTTTCCAATGATCCGCCCATATATCTTTATTTCCTTTTCTCATTGAATACAAAGTCTCTAAAATCAAAATAAAGTTATCAATTATCAAAACATCTGGCCAACCCCAGAGGTCCTATCAATCATTACACGAACAAAACTGATCAAAGAGGCGCAGATGAGGAAAGTGGCGAGGAATAATTCCATAAAAGGAAAGCCAATCGGTTCGAGTCGTCAATTCATGAGCTGCTCTCGCCCGCAACAAGCTGCCTTCAGAACTCTCTCACCAGATTGGTAAGCATCTGTTTTCTACTTTGCAGACTATTAATTTCAGAACTTCAGTTCAAAACTGATTTTCAATAATCTGTTTTTTGGCCCACTTCTAAATCTTGCTTCGTTCAAATGGCATATTACTTGTTCTTTATTATTCACCAATACAATGCATATATTCTACAACCTGCCTTATAGGTTTAATAACTTGTAATTAAAAACTTTGATGTTTTCTTTACCCTTGATTTGTTATGTTTCCTATTACATATTATAATGATGATATTATTAGTCTTCGGACTACAATCGTGTATCAGTGTATGAAGATATCAATCATGTAGAGGTGATGCGGTCCTGTGGATGAGTCAAATCAAGTCCGGATTACGTAACGCATCGTTGTTGTGTTTGCACATTTTAATAGGTGTTGGAAAAGTCTATTGAAATCGCTTTTCAGTTTTATTTTGCGAAGGTCTTTGCAATCGTATACACCGTTATCATCACCCATCTATCTGTCTCTATTAAAAGTCAGCGGCGTGAGTTTCTTTTGTATGGCACCCAGGGCAAATAATAAATTTGCGCCGCCCCTGTCCAAACTTATAGGTTCATAATGATAACAAGCTTACCTCATTCACATCATTCAGAAATTATAGCAATGTACTGAAAATGATTTTAACGCATTTAATCCGGGCATTGGTAACCCAAAGCTTAATTAGTCTACGAGTTATCAAAGCGAGGGATGAAAAGCAACCATGAGGTGAAATTGATTGATTGATTGTATTCGTTAAATATAGGCCTAAATAAATTTGTATTATGGAAAATTCAACATAGAAATGAAATACCTTCAGATCATGTGATAACACGTGAAAGCGAATCTTCAGAAAATCGTGTTGAATATAATTACACTGATTTGTTGAAATGACAAACTTCTTTTAAAAGTTTGATACACATGTCAGTTGAAAAATCTGTAGATTGGCATGTATTTCCAATATACCGAGAGTACTAACGGGATAGGCTCTTTTTTAAAATTATTATAAATTAAATTTATGCAAAATTTGCGTTTCACCATTCAAAACGTGATTTCTTAAGCGTTTTACATTTTAGGGGGAAACACCGACGGTGTTTCTGATTTTGAAAATAGAAAAATGCTATTCTATTCAATTCTTTCTATATTCTAGCAGTATAATAAGGACGAACATTTTCGAGGAATTCAGCATAGTAACATGAAACCAGCAAAATAGAACTCCCAATTCTCGTTTCCTTTGTTCTTCTTTTGCTAAACCAAACAGAATAGCCTTTCACATATTGCAGGCTGCTTCCCAAGCTAAACTAGTCAAGATGATGATCAAAGTAGCTCTTGTGCTCTGTGCTATTGTGGCAACCAGTACGGTGTGCGCCAAGCATTTTGAAGAACAAGATGCATTGGACACTTGTAAGTATATAAGTCAGCCAGGGACCTCAATGCTTGAAAAGTTTTGACCGCCCCCTTAAGAAGTATGTCAGAAAATCCCCAAGCTATTGTCAGAAGAACTGTGAAATTAAGACAATTCGTCAACACATGATCTTGTCTTTCGACCCATGATACAACTTACCACTAGAACAAGGCGAATACATCGTCTTAAAAAAGAGCATTTCGAATTTGTGCCAACGCTCATTATCTAGCCCCTTCTTTACCTTTATTCCGCCGTTTTTCAACATTGAATGTGTAATGATTCTTACAAATTATCGATTGCTTCTTTGATGTACAAGTTTTTTACCAAACTTCTCCCTCCTTAAATCATTCAAATATTTTGTATAAATTAAAATGTCCATTCTTTCTATACTCGACAGTCAGCCAAATTTCATCTCAGCGATATGTATTTGACTGTCACCCCCCCCCCCGGGGGGGGGGGGGGCTTTTGCTTTATTTTCATTACATCTCGTTTCTATGGCAACCAGTGCTGAATCTGATGCTATCGGAGGAGGCTGCATCTCCTGATGCTGTACCCTTGCAGAGCTGGTTAGGTGACAAATTTGGTAGTTTATTCACTGGAGTCCTCCGCGCTGATCAGGGTGTATGCAAGGGGCTTAGTTATTCTCCAGAAGAAGCTCGTAAGTAGCCACAGAAATATAATAATGAAAAAAGAGAGAATAATAATGGTAGTAATAGCAATGATGATGATGATAATAATATGTAGTAAGCATGGGTGTCGATCCTTACGTAATACCTATTCATCAGAGGGGGATGAATGAATAGATCATCCCCCCCTGATGAATAGGTATCAGTTACGTATCGACACCCATGGTAGTAAATAAAAATCAATAGTATAGCATTATTATCATCATCATTATCATCATCACCAATAATGAACGTCGACGATACTATCAATTTTTCATCATCGTTACTATAACTTGAAATAATTCAAACGTTTGGTTAATGTTTGATGTGTATTATAATCCAACAATTCCAATATTTTGAAACACTGGACTCATTGAACGGAAACAAGGAAATTTTTGGTTAAAGATAATTTTCACATACATGTATGTAGAATGCTTAAAATTGTGGTTCTTAGCCCCGGTTCTTAGCTCATTACATTATGAATATCACAGTATTGTCCCGTTCGAAGGGTTCAATTGCTACTCCGCACGTATTAGAGTACATGTTCCACTCTCTGGGGAGTACATATAGCCTACATAATTATATTCCTGACAGGCACATTATTTTTAAAAAAGCGCACATGTGCTAATCCAATCCAAAATATATTTGATATAGCGCCTTTTCCCTGTGGCTACAAAGCGCTGCACACACCGCTCCACAATGTTTGGGCAACTTATAATCAAAAGTTAGTCAGGGGTTCAGACTCCTCGTTTCATCATATTTTCACATTCCATGTTCATCTTAGGTGCTAAAATTCTGGCTGTAATCCCAGAGATGAAAGAAGAGGATCTCAGCGAAGAGGATCTTCGAGCGATCTGCGCTGGTGCACATGCCCTTGGCCGTTAGACTCGGTACGTATTTTTAAAAAAACAATATTAACATGAAACAATATTATTATACTGGCGAGCACTATTTTTTTTTGCCTTCAAAAATGGCTCCCCGCCCCCTCCCTCCCCCTTTGAGCACCAAGGGGAGGGACTCAGTACGTATTTTGGAACAATAATAACATGAAACAATATGATAGTAGATCGAGCAGATGTTCAACCAATGATTGTCCACTCACAGTATGGAGCTGCTTGATAATCATCAAATTTTGAAATTAGACTCAATCACCTTTTTAAAACAGTTTTTTTTAAATGTAGGGGAGGGAGAGGGTGGTGGCAAGGGAGCGAATCAAAACAAAGGCGAGTAAACGATCCACCACTTATAAACCTTTTACATACATTTTGCTTTAACAATTTAAATACCTGTCAAGTCTCAAGTAAGCAATGTTTGATAATACAATATTGTGGGCTTATACAAGACTGTGAACATGATCATACTTAAGTTCTTACTCTGACATTAAAAAAGATAGTTCTCTCAATTTAGATGTTCCAGCAGTATCAATTGATCAATATAGTGATAAATATGGAGTCATTAAGATTTTTTTCTTCTAATAAGAAATACAATATACATGTAGAGGTCTATTACATATTATATATGCTTCTTTCTTCTCACTGTGCCCCTCTCCCTTTCCCATTCTTTCTATGGTATCCCTTTCTCCCCCTCTCTCTTTATCTTTCTACCCCTTTCTCTCACTCCCCTTTCTTCGTCTTCATTTCTCCTACTCTCTCTTCCCTTGTTTATGTCTCCCTTTCTTCCCCTCTCTCTCTTCTTTTCTCTGTCTCCCTTTCTCCTCCGTTCTCCCGTCTTTCTCTGATTCCCTTTTCTCCACATTTTCCTCAATATGTTTCAAACAAATGATATTGCCTTTTTTTTATTTCTCACAAAGGAAGGGACCGTGACAAAACTTCTGGGACACTTCATGTCGATTCTTTCTCAAGACACAATGAATCTTCTTTATCACTCCTGTGTTGTTTAAATCGTTAAACCTTGTTTTCCCTCTAAAATGAAATGATTGTGAGTGGTTTTCATTAATAACACATATTTTCTGATTCTTCCATGTTTTTATTCATTATACATCTTTCGAATATGTGCAGGGTTAACTGTACACCACCCTTAACATCTAGCATAATACTGTTTTGCTTCTTTTTCCTAAAGAAAAGTACCAACAACAAGACACTGTAAGCATGGTATAAGGGGAATACCTAATAGTATTAGTAATGATGCTGATAATAAAATCATATGAACTTGCAAAACAAACCTAGTGGTTTATTTGGGGTATTTGTTATATGCTATAAAATCAGTAGTGTATGATTATGTTGGCATACAGGGAAAATACGAAAATCAACACTGTGATAAGAAAAAGTGAAAGAGGCAAAAATAAAACAAAGTGAAAAGGTTGAATAGAAGACTGAAGAGAGAAAGAGAAGAAAGGGGAGCACGGGAGAGCAGAGGGGGGGGGGGGGGGGGGGGGGCGGAGGGAGGCAAGGAAAGCGGACAAAAAGAGAAAGAGGAGTGATAACAGAAGAGACAACTAAGGGCAGAAAGGGAAAGAATGAAAGAGAGAGAGAGAGAGAGAGAGAGAGAGAGAGAGAGAGAGCGAGAGATGCAGTAACAGGGGAGAATCAAAAATATGTAATTGAGGAGAATTTAAGATGGAGAGAAGAGATAGGGGAGCAGAGAGGAAAAGGATAACAAGAAGGGGAGTAATGGATTGTGTGCGTGTGTGTGTGTGTGTGTGTGAGAGGCACACACATTACTCAGTTGTTGAGTGTAAAAGTATCTGCAAAATGAGACTACAATACGCTCTGTACTTAGTTTGACACAGCAAGAAACCGACAGGTCTAGGCTCTGCTCATGGCTTTGGGAATTGTGGGTTTTTGGTAAACTGTCTTATATTGGAGTCTATGAATGGGCATGGGAGCACCTAGGCCCCCTGGGTCTTAGGGGTCTTATCCCAAAATATTTGAAAAACTGAAGCCATTTTCTTGTATTGGCATACTGAAATCCACAGCTATGATGGACAAAATACATGTATCTGGACCTACAAATGGGATGGCCAAGATAATAAGCAAATGTTAACCGACTACGAGGGTAATATAATATGAATATTTTGTTGCCTTAATCCTCATCATGGATATCTAAACTACACATTCAACAACATATTGTCTTGAAAACTTGTATTTAAATAGGTAAATGGATCTTTTTGTGCCTTGTGTTCTACTGGTGATAACCATTTTAAAGTAAGCATATGGATGAATATTAGGGGTAGCAATTTGGCCAAATTTAACTACATAAAAGAAGCTAGATGAAGTTCATTCAAATAATACCTTGTTAAAACCTGTATAGCATTGGGACATCTCAGCATGATATAAACCCCTCATAAACGTTTGGAAACTCAATGTGTGTGTGTATTGGGTTTTTACAGACGTGTATCAATCAGATACGATTATTTACGTCTGGGGACCGACATTTAAACGTCACCATCCGAAAGACGTGACTCAGTTTCGAACCTGCGTCCTCATCTGAATCAGTTTGTAACTTCCACTGTTAGCTGGATTACATGCGCACGCCAGGCATGATCATCACTTTGTTTAGTATCAATAGAGAGTGTGATTACCGATATTCATTTTTTAAATGATGTCATATTTGTTATGATTTTGTAGCCATGGAATGGCAGTACATTGATGGTAATGGTAATGGTAATGGTAATGGTTTTATTAAAAATTCATTTGCAGCCAGATGGTTGAATTGCAGAACTTTGTACATTGTAAAAACATAAATATTTATACAAACATCACTGGCGTACTGGTGGGGGTGCTTGGGGGGGGCTTCAGCCCCCCCCCCCCCAAATAAAATTGAACCACGACTTTTTTTCACAAGTGATGTATATGTTCGTGATATCACATGATTTTCAACAAAATGCCAGTTTTTCCATTAATTCTTGCAAACTGACCCATTCCCCAAAAAAGCCAGGAAGAGCTTATGTTTTTATTGTCACTAAGGGCCTTATAGTGGCCACCAACAGTAACACTGGTAAAAAAAATCCTTTCCAGAAGCTTTGTGCAAAGCACTGCCGGGAGATAACATGCTACCTACCACTCGGGCTGAGCGTGCACAGATTTGCGAACGAGCGTTCCATACTTACATCATGTAACACTGCACATATAGTGGGGGAAATTGAATTCAGACAAGATTAAGAGTACTAACGGTACAACGAATCGTCTTCCGCGCTTTGCACGGGAGGGGGGGGGGGAATTGAATTCAGACTAGGATTAAGAGTCGAGAACGGTTTCGATGAAACGCGAAAATGATTTCAGACAAGGATTAAGAGTAATAATTAAATAAAACGACAAAGCTTCCGCGCTTCGCGTGGGAGGGGGAAAACTGAATTCAGACAAATACACGATAAAATGAATCGTCTTCTTTCTCTATAAATTTAATGAAACGTGATAGCTTCCGCGCTTCGCGCAGGATGGGCGAAAATGAATTCAGACAAGGGTTAAGAGTAATAATTTATTGAAAGACAAAGTTTCCGCATTTCGCGCGGGAGGGGGACTGATTTCAGACAAGGATTAAGAGTCGAGACCGGTACAACGGATCGTCTTCTTGCTCTAATAATTAAATGAAACGTGAAAGCTTCAGCGCTTCGCGCAGGATGGACGAAAATGAATTCAGACAAGGATTAAGAGTAATAATTTATTGAAACGTCAAAGCTTATGCGCTTCGCGCGGGAGGGGGGGGAGAACTGAATTCAGACAAGAATTAAGAGTCGGGGTTGGAACAATGAATCGTCTTCTTTCTCTAATTATTAAATGAAACGTCATAGCTTCCACGCTTTGCGCAGGAGGGGCGAAGAACGGTACAACGGATCGTCTTCTATCTCTAATAATATAATGAAGTGTCAAAGCTTCCGCGCTTCGCGCGGGAGGGGGGGGGGGGGGACTGAAAAAATTAATTAGTTCCTGGCCCCGGGTTTATGGGGTTAAAATTGTAGGCATTTGGACATTGGCATTTTTATATTTGTTGGTAATTGGTGGCTCGTTTTGTCGGTAATCGGTGGCCTCTACACCTTCCCCCCTCCCCCACTGAAAAAGATCTAGCCGCGCCCCCGATAACGACACAGTTTATACACTCGAGATAATTTTTGCAAGTACTACAGTCAAGTACCGGCATCAAAGCATAATCTATACAACGTCTCACGACGTGTCAGATCACTTTTCTCTAACTTCTAACGAATCCCCTCTCGCGCAAAGCGCGGAAGCTTTGCCGTTTCATTAAATTATTAAAGAAAGAAGACGATTCGTTGTACCGGTCTCTAATCTTAATCTTGTCTGAATTCAAGAAGGCCTCTTTTTTTCCAGGAAGTGCCGGTGGACATTAATGCGCCAAATGTGGTTCTCAAATTGCAAAAGATCCCTACTCTTGGAAGGGGTAGGAGAAAGCAATTTTTACGTCATATTATATTACTCCAGGAAGCAGGGGCGTCGCCAAGGGGGGGGGGTGAGGGGTGCGACACCCCCCCCCCCCCACCTGTCAGGATATTGTCGGTAAAATTGCGCTGCCGTCGGAAAAAAGAGAAAAGGGGGAGGGAAAAAAAGAGAGGGGAAAAAAAAAGAGGGAAAAAAAGAGAGGGAAAGGGGAAAGAAAGAAGAAAAAAAAAGGAAAAGAAAAGAAAGAAAGGAAAAGAAAGGAAAAAAAGAAAAGAGAAGAAAGAAAGAGAAAAAAGAAAAAGAGGGAGGAGAGGAAAGAAAGGAAAAGAAAGAAAAAAAGAAGAAAAAAGAGTGAAAGGGAAACAAACGAAACGGGAGATGAAAGAGAGGAGAGAGAAGGGAGGTAAGAGTCTGAGAGAGGAGGAGCGGGAGTAAAAAGAGAGAAGGGAGTTGTTGGGGGAGTCGTCTCGTCGAGGGAGCAAGAAAGAAACGGGTAAATATGTTGCTGTGTTTGGTCAGCTGTGTCGGTATTCTTGATCGATCCTCGTGTACTATATCAATGCAGAAGTTTGAAGTCGGTGAGATGTATATTGTCGGTCGGCCGACAAGTTTTTTTCCCTACGAACTGTGTCTTCTTATCCGCTGTGACGACTTCGAGAGTGACTACAACTACAATACTTGTTTTTTCTCGAAGTTTCACTTTTCTATAATATCAGCTAAAGAAATCAGAGGTTTAAAATTTTCGGGAAAACTAATTTCAAACAAGGTTTAAGAGTCAACAACGGTACGACGAACCGTCTTCCTTTCTATATATTGTGATAAAACGCCAAAAATTCCGTGCTTCGCGCGGAAGGGAAACTTCATTTAGTCGAGTCGAGAACGGTACAACGAATCGTCTTCTTTCTCTAATAATTTAAGGAAACGTCAAAGCTTCCGCGCTTCGCGCGAGAGGGAAAACTGAGTTCAGACAAAATTAATAGGGCTTATTTAGAGTCGAAAACGGTACAACGAATCGTGTTCTTTCTCTAATGATATGAGGAAACGTCAAAGCTTTCGCACTTTGCGCGAGAGGGGGGAAACTGAATACAGAAGAATAGGGCTTATTAAGAGTCGAAAACGGTACGACGAATCGTCTTCTTTCTCTAATAATTTTAATGAAACGTCAAAACTTCCGCGCTTCGCGCGGGAGGGGGAAGCTTCATTTAGATAAGGATTAAGAGTCGAGAACAGTACACCGAATCGTCTGCTTTTTCTCATAATTTAATGAAACGTGAAAGAGGGGGGTGGGGGATGGGGAGGGGGTGGGGGAACTTCATTCAGCCAAGGATTACTAGTCGAAAACGGTACAATTAATCGTCTTCTTTCCTTATAATTAGAGGAAACGTCTAAGCTTCCGCGATTCGCGCAGGAGGCCCATCACCCACACCCCCTAATGAGCGCGCTTTTAAGTGATTCTCTTGCTCACTACCGCCCCTCCCTAAAATAAGATCCTAGCTCCGCGCCTGCATTAAAATATATAGCTATGATGCTGACTAAATTGAAGAAATAATACGTATATTTATGTCTTCGAGGAAAATGACCATTTCGCGCATATGCAAGTACTATAGATAGTCCATATGAAATTTTTTTTTAGCTTCGGCCCCGGGTTTATAGGGTTATTTGTAGATATTGAACATTTAATTTTGTCGGTAATTGGTGGCTAGTTTTGTCGGTAATCGGTGGCCTCTACACCCCCCCCCCCCCACTAAAAAAGGTCTAGCGACACCCCTGCCAGGAAGTGCCTGAAAATACGTCTAATTTGGTTTTAAAATTGCAAACGCTTCTTACTCTGGGAGGGGGCCAGAACCCCTCCCAGACCCACCCCCTGCTTGGTCACTCCACTCCCTCGCCGTTAAAGCCTCGTTCTGTCGCTTCATCGTTTTACATTTCAACCCTCGCCATTTTGTGCCCCCCCCCCCCCCGTAAGAAATTCCTGGATCCGCCACTGAACCCTTGAGCTTAGGGGCTCCGCCCCTTGACCCCCGCCGGGCTTTGCCACTAGACCCAATTTCGAGAAACGTTCAGCAGGGACTGCATGTTAGAGTGGGGGTGATTTGGATTTTTTTGTCAGCCCCCCCCAAACGTTTTTGCTCATTACGCCACTGACAAACATAAAACGTATTAAGACATATCACGCAGTGAATGAATTAAAAAATCAGTGTACACATATATATATATACAAATTAATACAATTCATAAAATTCGCTTAACATTCTATTCCACAATCATCATAGGGCTAGAGGGAAATATAGAAGAGAGGTAGGGAGGATAATAGTGCAGACAGCACGGGAGACCGAGGAAAAGTGTGAGATAGAGACAGACAGAGAGGGAGAGAAAGAGAGAAAGGGAGAGAGGGAGAGAGAACGAGAGACAAAGCGAGATATATATATATATATATATATATGTATATATATATATATATAAGATAATGCTGAGGATGAGAGTGTATGATAATGCTGAGGATGAGTGTGTATGATAATGCTGAGGATGAGAGTGTATTGAGGATGAGAGTGTATTAGAATAAGAACATTAGAATAAGGGGGCTGTATCAAAAGGAAAAATTGCAAATGCACTGGTTAGTAGTGGAATTGTAAGCAAAGAACTTTCCTTTCTTTGAAATAAGATAGTGTAATTGTTTGTAAATTACTGTGGGCTATTGTTCCCAACTGGTCATCCTTGAATGTCGCGTTCAAAAAAATCTCCAAATAAAATTCATTCACTATGGTGACATTTCAGGCACGATTCAGTACTACTTGTATGGTCATAAACTTTCCAAGGCATCGTGCCTAGGTTAACTAATGTTGAAAAGGCCCGGGCCATAAGAGTACTCAAAGCTGAAGTTCTCCAAAAAGATGTTGCAGCCTTCCCCTGCTTTCTTTTTTGCCGAGATAAATTCATGTGAATTGTAGTGTATTGCATGTTTGTTTGCATATGCTCATGATCATTAATTTTGTCTAAGTTATGACGCATGATTGTTTTTCGTGAAGTGGAAGATCATCTGAAAACACAGCAGCCCTTTACTCTTCGAAGAAAGAAGATTGCACAGCCGAACAAGAGCAGTGCATTTTGCAACTTTTCACTTTTGACTTGCCCTTTATTTTGATGTACTGCACATTCCATAGGTGAACAAAAATCATACGAAAAAGGGTATCATTTTAGAGAGGAACAAACACTCTTTCTTATTGTGATATACACAGCGATAGTTATGCTATGGCAAGATAGATATAAGCAATCAAACTTTTTTTGAGGGGTTTAAATCAACAAAGGGTGAATCTTTCCAGACAAGGTTACTTAAAAGGGTAATAAATCTTTCAATACATAATTTCCATATGCAAAGTTGCTTTGGTCCTCAACTCCTCATTCACCAACCCTCTGAAAGCTGTAAAGCTGTTGTAAATGGGGATCAAAGGTAAACAGATCCTTCCCAATAACCGTGGACAATTTCTTCACAGTGTACGTTTGGCTAAATCCAGCAGGAAGCATCTTTTATGGTTTTTATGGCGTTTTCCATCGTAGTTGGATGACTGTTGCCATTATTGTTCATTCACTTCTTTTACCTCTTTTACCCTTGCCCTTCTTTCCTTTCAAGGCTTTACTGATAATCTTGACATGCATAACACTGGTAGACTGGAAAGGCATCTTTGCAGTCTTGTTCCTCTTGCTCTTGGCATCATCTTTGCCAGGAGAGGTGGATATTTTGGATAGCTTCCTCTTCTTTGTCGCTTGTGGCTGTCTATCGGTACCCTCGGGGTCATCATCAGAGTCCTCATTTTGGCACAGTTTATCCTCAATCCCATCAACTCTCTCGTTGGTCGTTCCTGCATTTTCATCCATCATGCTTCCGCCATCTCTGCAGAGCCCATTACCATCCGTCCTTTCAGTCGTTCCCTGCTGAGGTTCTTCTTCTTCCCTTTGTGAGTCTTTGAGAACTGTTTCCTCAGAAGCACCTGCTTCGGTCTCCCTGGTCTCTGTAACTGCACTTGTAGTAGCTGACTCATCCTTTTTGCCCTGCTGTGTTTCCCTAACAGCTGCATCAATGACAGAGTTCCTCTGATAGCTGAAGACTCCCTTGGACAGTTCTGCAGCCAGTTCCTCCAGGGGTAAGTGCTTGAGGTCCATTCAAGGAACCTTGATTGCAGGACACTTCCCACTGACATGTGACACAATGCCTGCAAAGTCTTGGTTGGCTCCATTAGAAGGTTTCTGCATGAGACATGAAACACAATGTGCATTTAGAAGGCATTTTTGAGCGAGAGAATGTGCCATAAATTTGTTATAGAAGTAGTGATGTCATAAACGGTATGCCTATATATATATATATATATATACCAGTTTATAAACATATTAACATTTATGGATGTTATTTTCCTCAGGACCTAGTGACGAGTTATTCCATTAACCTTTTATTAATGAATGAACTACAATACTTGGAATCCAGAATCCACAATACTTTTTGCTATGTCAGGCAAGCCTTAGGGTCAACACTGATTGAAATATTTCTAACAAACTGGATGGTCCTCATGTTTGAGAATGGAGCAAAGGAGCAGTGCTAGCAGAAACACCCTCTTAAGGTGACCAGGGTCAGGGTCAGAGTCAGGAGGTGTGAGGTCATGAGGTCAAGCTTGTTGTAGATCGGTTTATCTTCTCTTCAAACATATGGCTAGGACAGTCTTTGTGTATGAGAAAGGAGCAAGGGATCATTACCACAGTAGGTATACCCATTAATGTGGGTCAGGAGGTGAAAGTTCATGAGGTCAAGCTCGTACATCCGTTTATCTTACCTTGAAACCTATTAGTTTCATTGAATAAGAACTTATACTTTCAAAATTATATCATTGGTTAAATATTTGATGTTGACGCTGCTCTCTCGCTTTTGCTATGCAGGCAGAACAAAAATTGATGTCAAGACAAAAGTTTTTGAAATTTAAAGGTGTTATTGGTATCAAATGAACCTTCTTTACCATATTTTTCACTTGATTAAAAAAAGAGAAGTTTTATAGGTAGTAAGGAAGTATTAGACGATGAAATCTTCCTTGTTGGGATGGGAATTTACCTCAAGGCCGATCTCCTCTGTTCTTCTTCCTTCCTCTCTGGGTTGCTCTCCATCTCTGCCTTTCGTTTCTTGGTCTGTTTTCGATTCTTGCATCTTCGTTTTCCAAGCAGGCATTGCAAAGGCTGAAATGTTCTGAAATAACAATCAAATTTCACTTTTTTCTTTAGCTGTATAAATTTACATTCTGAGGAATTTTCATCATATTTGGTCTAAAATGATATATATTTTTTTTACAAAGCCAATCTACAATTGAATTGCAATATTGAATTTTGATGGCAAAAAGAAAAGAAAATTTGAATGAAACTCGTTGGATACTTATTGTATATGTTCACACATGTTCCATCTGTTTGATTAAATGCATTCAATATTAGTTAACTACATTATGTCCATGAATAAAATAGAACTTTAGTGACGAAAAAAGTGAAAAAATCCTAATTATGGCCAACTCTGTCTACACCTAAGCTCACTACACAACCACTCCCCAGAGTTTTTTAAAAGCCCACTAAAAATGAAAAAAACTATCATAATATTCAATATATAATCAACATAATCATTATGCTTTATTAGTTGTGATCTGGTAGAGAATTTGGCAGACTGTGAACCAAAGGGTATGTTTGTACAGTTGTCACACTTGACCCAGATGAGGTAAATAGGTACCTGGCAGGAATTAATAACTTTAAAAGCTAGAGCGCCATAATGGCAGCCATGTTTAAGTTGTGGTAATATTTGTGGAGTGCCAGGACTGAAGTTTGACAGACATGTGCGCTATACAAGAAATTGTCATTTTCATTAATGATCTTGTAAGCTTTCCTGCATATAAGTGTATTTAAGACTTGCATACAGAGACCCAGACTGAGCAATGGACTGTGCCTCTGAGCAAAGAAAGAGAGATGTCAAGAGAGTTAGCAGATCAAAAGAGAAGATGCAAATATGCTCTCTTACCTCTGGATTTCAGATAAAATATCTGGAGTGACGCCACTTGGGAGCGGCGGCCTGCAGCAAATAAAATCAAGAAAGGATTTGTATGACAAAATCAATAACACAACACAGTAAATATTAGAACCAAAGCTTTGCCAGTCGAAACTGAGATGTCTGGCTCCACTGAATGCCTCACATTAAAGAATTCCCCGTACCAGCTGATTATTTTCATCCAAGTAAATATTATCAAAAAAACAACATCTATAAAAAATAATTTTCTTTTGCATTTATTTTGAAGATTCAAGATAAGGACATTGGTATTAAATTTATTCAGGGTCCATCCCAGGAAAGGAAAAAAACATGGATTACACACTAAGAAAAGGTCATAGAGAGCATGAAAGATAATAAAGGAGAAAAAGTAAAGTAGGAAGGAAAGTAAACAAAATACGGCTGCAAGAATTTCAACACGGAGCTCAATTTTGACGAAGAAATTCCGGATAAAAAAACCCTTAAACAAATCATACAAGATATAGTCAATCTGGTAAGTAGAACCGATGTATATTAGCCTAGGACTAATTAAAAAAAAAAAAGCATCGCCATCGGATTCGGATAAGAATCCGCTAAAAATTGAGTAATTTGGGCGAATAAGTTTTGTGGCCATAAATGGCCACAACGTTTACTCAGGAGGTCCTATGGTCGGCTTCTGTCTCTAAAGAGAGGAGCTGACCCTACCCAAATAAGAGGCTAATAAACGAAAGAGACTAATAAACGAAAGAGACAGACATTTTCGGTCTACTGGTAACTCAAAACCACTCCAGCAAAGCATAGAGAGTGAACGCTAATGCGTATTGACCTCTAGCAATGGTTCCATGACACATGCTCCGCCGACGATTGCTCCGCCGACATTTACTCCGCAAAACGCGACAATTGCTCCGCGACATTTGCTCCGCGACATTTGCTCCGACGTCAAATGCTCCGCCGACAGGTGCTCCGCCGACAGTTGCTCCGCCGACAGTTGCTCCGCCGACAATTGCTCCGCCGACAGATGCTCCGCCGACAATTGCTCCTCCGACAATTGCTCCGCCGACAATTGCTCCGCCGTCAATTGCTCCGCAAAACGCGACAATTGCTCCGCCGACATTTGCTCCGCCGACATTTGCTCCGCCTGAAGCGACACTTGCTCCGCCGACATTTGCTCCGCCGACATTTGCTCCGCCGTCAATTGCTCCGCCGACAATTGCTCCGCCTGAAGCGACAATTGCTCCGCCGACATTTGCTCCGCCGACATTTGCTCCGCCGACATTTGCTCCGCCGTCAATTGCTCCGACGACATTTGCTCCGCATGAAGCGACACTTGCTCCGGTGACATTTGCTCCGACGACATTTGCTCCGCCCAAAAAGTGTCCCATTAAATACAAATGCTACTAGTACTACGACTAATGCTTCGCCGACAATATTTTTTTTTCACGGGTTGTTTTTGTTTCTTTCTTTTTTTCTTCATTTTTTGAATGCATTTCATGACATTATGTAAATGAAATGAAATGAATGAATGTTGATAATGTGGGAGGAAAAAGCAGTTGCCTAAAAGTCATTTCGAATATACTGAAATAACTTTCCATCTATCACTGTACGTCCCACATAATGTACACTAAACACTCATTACATGTCATGGGAAGTTGTTTTTTTTTTAAAGTAGAGCAGCAAGCCACATTCCCCAATACGCGCATACCTCCTAATTAATTTCAAACAGCTCATCAATATGTAATACCTGAAATTACCTCAATGAAAGAAGACTAATAACATGAGAGGAAAGAAAAGAGCAAAAAAGACAACCGTTTTTTGCTATTCCCCATAATGTTTGATTTAAAAAAATAAAAAATAAAATTATAGCTCCTTACGCAAGTTCTCCGGCGAAAGATAATTACTCCGCTCAAAATCTGTTTCATGTATTACTCATTAGCTGATCCAAAGCTCAAGGCTATCTCTCTCTCTCTCTCTCTCTCTCTCTCTTTCTCTCTCTCCCATGCTCCTCCTTTTCCTGTTTACACCGTTTTCTTGTCTTCTTTGCTCTTTTCTTTCCTCTCATGCTATTAGTCTTCTTTCGTTTCCATCACTTCTTCTCTGCTCCCCCTCTCGAGTTCTATTTCTCTCGTGAAATTGAAACGTAAAGTAATACAATCATGTAGTACATTCTTGTTTAGAATAATATTTTCAATAATATCCAGTCCATTTTCTAAAGGTTTCTTTCCTTTAGTTAAGTGTATGTAGCTTTAATATATTAGTGTGCAAAACACTCCGTTTCATTCGAGTACTTTGTTTTCACTAAATAATTTAAGGGACTCACGAAGCCACCGGAAGAAGAGCAATTGGCTTATCATGAAGAACTAACATCAAACTGCAACAAAATGATTTGTATAAATGTGAATAAGCAGAAAGGCTGCCATCTCATTTTCCCGTCTGAATGGGTTCTCTTCCTTACGTATATAAGTGCCCTTATTTTCTAAACTTTTTTTTATATTTGTGTGTTTATTAAATTTTCAATCATATAAAAATTACATATTTACAAGTCATTGGTAATAATTAGACAAACAAAAAAAACCAATATGTATAAGAACAACTAACAATAATGAAAGGACAAGAAAGTTATAAAAAAAAAACATTATAGTAAAAAAAAAATACACTGTACACATATAAATCATAGTTTGAACTCCAGTGCATAAAGGGGAGTGAGGGGGCACAGGAATAAAAGTTAAATCAACATGAGTATCATAAGTCAAATCGCCATTTCTTAAAATGCGAAACAAGCTTGTTCCTTTTTTTCGCTGAGAAATATTCAATATCTTTTTGTTTCTTTATAAAACTCTTAAAAAGATCAACACTTGGTAAATCCCCCTTACTTATTTTCTAAACTTCCATGATGACCTATTACATTGTATAATGCTTTACCTAGTAAGACGCATTGATCGAGGTAATTTCAGGTATTACATATTGATGAGCTACTTGAAATTAACTAGGAGGTATGCGCGTATTGGGGAATGTGGCTTGCTGCTCTACTTTTTTTTTAAAACTTCCCACGACATGTATTTATATGGGACGTACAGTGATACACATGTACACGGAAAGTTATTTCAGTATATTCGAAATGACTTTTAGGTAACTCCTTTTTCCTCCCACTTCATCAACATTCATTCATTTCATTTCATCTACATTATTTCAAGAAATGCATTCAGAAAATGAAGAAGAAAAAAAGAAACGAAAAAAATAGGTGTAAAGAAAATATTGTCGGCGAAGCATTTGTCGTAGTACTAGTAGCATTTGTAGTTTATGGGACACTTTTTGGGCGGAGCAAATGTCGTCGGAGCAAATGTCGGCGGAGCAATTGTCGCTTCAGGCGGAGCAATTGTCGGCGGAGCAATTGTCGGCGGAGCAAATGTCGGTGGAGCAAATGTCGGCGGAGCAAGTGTCGCTTCAGGCGGAGCAAATGTCGGCGGAGCAATTGTCGCTTCAGGCGGAGCAATTGTCGGCGGAGCAAATGTCGGCGGAGCAAATGTCGGCGGAGCAAGTGTCGCTTCAGGCGGAGCAAATGTCGGCGGAGCAAATGTCGGCGGAGCAATTGTCGCGTTTTGCGGAGCAATTGACGGCGGAGCAATTGTCGGCGGAGCAATTGTCGCGTTTTGCGGAGCAATTGACGGCGGAGCAATTGTCGGCGGAGCAATTGTCGGCGGAGCAATTGTCGGCGGAGCATCTGTCGGCGGAGCAATTGTCGGCGGAGCAACTGTCGGCGGAGCAACTGTCGGCGGAGCAACTGTCGGCGGAGCATTTGACGTCGGAGCAAATGTCGCGGAGCAAATGTCGCGGAGCAATTGTCGCGTTTTGCGGAGTAAATGTCGGCGGAGCAATCGTCGGCGGAGCATGTGTCGGGTTACCCTAGCAATGCACTACATGAATAGGTCTAGTCAATGCACTCATAACACACAGATATGATGCACACTATCATGCCGATGCAGTTGATCGGCAAGTTTGACAGTGGACTCACAATTTTAATTTTAAAATTATTCTTTTTAACGTCGGTTAAGTTGAAAAAAAATTGTATTTTAGATCTAGACCTAGGTCTAGAGTCTACTGCTATTTTAGGTGTCATCAATCGTCACTAAAGTAGACCGATTTTGAGTGAAATCAGTTGAGTTTAGTACAATGGTGTTTGAAATATTGGAAATCAATAGCACAGCTTGTAATACACAGCCAGGATAGTGATGCACCTATGTGTGCTCAAAACGTGACGACACTGCATTGGGAAAATGATACATGATGGTAGGCCTACATGATGTAATAGTACAACGTAAATCACAGCGTATCGGACTACGTACTGAGTTTAAACTTACCATTATATATCTCTATGGTTCTCATTCACCGACGCCATTACCACCAGTCAGCTGTCAACAGAATTATTGCTAGTCGAAGCAAAAAGAAAGCATGCGGAAACTTCAGGTCAAATGAAAACGTGCAGTAGTCTGCAAATGCAGACTATATTTTGATTTTCATACACATTTTCATACACCATGACCGTGAGCCAATTAAGTCTAGATCTAATGTTTTTTAAATAATTTTCTCAGACATGCTATAAGCTCCACCCTAAAAATTGCTCCAGATCTCATTTCCCTGATGATATCATATATGTCAATCATGAGTGAGCTAACAAGACTCAAGAGACGGAATTTCCAAATGGACCAATAAAATTAATCTGAATCTGATCTGAATAGTATACCCCAGCTCAGCACATGCTGAACAAAAGAATTGCATGCTTTCCTTTCTTTTGGTGATGCTACAGCCCCGGGCTACAGCATGTCTGACATAGCAACTCCTATGTTGGTATTATATGGTTTGTGTACAGGTAGTCAGCTCTGGTAAATTACATACCGGTACCATATTGTCTTTTGATAGCTCACTGATTGAGAATGTGGAGCATTTTTCAGGGTGGAGCTTATATTAGCAGGTCTGAGAAAATCATTTTTAGAAATATTTAAAAATCTATGAAATTTATTTAGATGTTTGAATAATAAAATATGAGTTGTAGCCCTCGGCGGCGGAGCGTCATTCAAAGTGGGGGGGGGGGGGCATCAACAAAAAATTAAGGGGCAATTTCTGGGAAAAGGGGCACCTACAAAGGGAAACCTCAAACCAAAATATGCAATTTTTAGACATTGGTATATACCCCTACACTACATTGTGATTACATTATAAGAGATTATTTCAATTACATGGACTTTGCAGTTGGCCATGATGGTATGAATATTTATTTGCGAGAAAACAAAGCGAGCGAGCAACAATTTTGAGATGTGTGCCGGTCGCAGTGCAAAAAAATTACATCTTCTGAAGATGAAAAGGTTCTAATGGGGTTTTAAGCACAATCTAATCATGGCAGACTGAAAACATCTTTAATAAGAAACATTATTATATCAACTTTAAATGCGAGCGAGCGTAGCGAACAGTTGGGTGAAACTAAAGAGAAAGTTGCTCAGTAATTTATGGGGCAAGCCTAAAGCGGGCACATATCCAAAGGGGATATACATACAGCCTAATAGAAAAGAAAAAGAGCACTTTCAGATCGAGTAAAAAGGCGAATCAGCAGAGGTGAAAATGTGGCACTCCTCGCACTTAATGAGGGAACCAGAGATGAAAAATGGCACTTATGACAACGAAAAACGGACACTTCTTACAACGGGAAAACCTCTACAGGCAATAATCAGGATTTTTCGCACGGGGACGCTTGCAAGTGCTGACTACGGGGTATTTGGGGACTTTTAGATTTGCACGACGAAAACGGAAAAGAAAAAGGTCGAGTTTTGCTACATCTGCAACAATAAGTATAATCATAACAGGACAATGTAGAATAGCTAGAGAAAGACGAGGAGACCTTGGTTGAAGCACAGCTTGCTAAGTTAAGGCCCCCTCATATGATGTGACAAAGATAACTGATTCATGAATACAACAACAAATATGGAATATATAAAACTATTTTCAAAATACTCTCAGAGAACAAATACCAACGACGCATCGACCACAGCATGGGTGACTACAACAAGACAGTATACCGGAAGATGCGCACATCCCCATCACACCGGGTGAGCTAACAAACTCACCGTTTGTGTGAAAAAAATGTATCATATGAGCAAAAATCAACCCACCCATGGGAGGGCGATCTAATATGGACAAACCCAAGCTGACACCAAATCGAGACATTAATGAGTTATCGCTCTCTGAGTGCAGAGGTCAAGAACGACAAGTAGGAATATATGGTACATGTACAGATGAGAAAGAAGAAGAAAAAAGAAAAGGGATAAATTAGGGGATTATGTCAAAGTCAAGAAATAACAAAAAATAGATCGAGAGTGAGGTTAAATATGCTACAGTACACGAAAAATAAAGCTTGATAACATATTCATGTGTCATCGACATACTTGTGAAGTAAATATGACTTAAGTCTACGCTTAAAAGCTGACGGATACTTGAAGCATTTGTTATAGTAGGATACAGGGGCGGCGATTTCTTTTCATGACCGGGGGGGGGGGGGACGAAATGCGAGGAACGAGGGAGGAGTGACGTAATAAGCAAAAACTTTTTTTTGGGGGGGGGGGGGTAGAAAAAAAATCGGCATCATCACCGCGCTTACATGTTACATACAGGCCCCGCGGAACGTTTTTCAAAGTGGGAGTGGTGGGGGGCTAAAGTATTTGCGATCGGATAGAGCAAAGCAAGTTTTTAGGCTCAGCGGTTTTAGGCATTAAATTACGATCAGGTGAGCATCCAGGGGCCGCCTTAGGCCCTTGGTGTGATCTAGGGGCGGAGCCCCAGGAAGCTCAGGGTCTTAGGCTTTTGAATATGGTCAGATGAGCATCCAGTGGCCCGCTTAGGGCCCTGGTGTGGTCCAGGGGCGAAGCCCCAGAAGCTCAGGTGTTTTAGGCATTTATTTATGGTCAGCTGAGCAACCAGGGGCCCACCATAGGGCCCTTGGTGGGGTACAGGGGACAGAGCCCCCGGAAGTTCAGGGAATTACCATGCCATTTAAGCAACATTTGTAAATTAGTCACTGGTATCGAATTAGAAATAAACCACGTTCGAATTTTATCGGGATGGGGAGAGGGGACTGCCCCAAGCCCGAGTGAGTGAGCATAGTGAATGAGAGGGGTGAAGGGGACGAATGTGAGTACCCCCTCACAGGTTTTGAAGTTTTGTTGTATTACAAAATTATATTCCTTGGCAAAACTATAGTATGAAAACAAACAATGTAATTTTTTCACACTTCACTTTTCTACAATATTTACTTGTACATTTTGAAGGATGTTATGCGAGGGAGCATAGCTCCCGAGCCAGGAGATTTTTGCATTTTTATTTGTCTAAACGCTGCACTCTTGGGCCCTCCAAAGCCTAATAGTGTGTTGAAGTCTTTAGTCAGTATTTGTTGTACATTATTTTTTTGCACTTTTTCAAATTTTCCGGGGGAGACGATCCCCTCCTACAAAAATCGAGGGGGACGTGTCCCCCCCCCCGTCCCCCCCCCGGGATCGCCGCCCCTGGTAGGCTAGTATCAAGTGAATTCCAGAACCTGGGGCCAGTGGACATTAGAGTAGGCCTAATCAGAGTGAAGGTTGTCCTTGCATATGGTAAATGGAGAGCAGAAGCCTGTCTAGTATTATACCTGTGAATTTAGTTATTTCTTCTAAAGATTTGAGCAAGGGCAGGAGGGAGGTCCTCAGAGTGAATGCTAAACATTCAAAATTGCATTGAATCAGGGGCGTATATCTGGGGGGGGGGATGCATCCCCCCTCGCTTGAAGGAGGGGGATGGTCTGTACAAATATCCCCCCTGAGATTACAACAACAAAAACAGAAAAAAGGAAGAAGAAGAAGGAAAAAAATGTGATTGTTTCAATTTCAGCATAATGCATGAGAAATTAGTGGGGTTTTTTAATGTATGTATAACTGTATAGCCTACACGAATACAGTATGTCACGATCATTAAGAGTAGTTGCGCGACGTGCGCGAACAAGCACTTCATAAACTTCAGAATAATTTTTCGTTATTTTGCAAGGTATTATTATAGCCTAGACGTAAAGTGCGCCAGCGCGCTACCGCTTAAAAAGTGCAATCATGTACAGTAGATGCACGGCTCCCCCTCCACACTGCACTCAGTGTTATTTAGGGTACGCGTATGCTCGTTCACTCCCTTTGAAAGCACCCCTCCCCATCCCCCTCAGGACTGCCAACATTTCTGAATCCCCCTTTCGTCCGCTTTTCGCTGGCTTTTCCTGCCTTGGAGACCTCCCTCCCCTGAATCCGGAACACTGCTAAATGTACCACTCTCCCCCCCCCCCCCCCCCAATTTCAGGTGAGCTCTAGTCGATCGAGGGGGACTGGGAGCCAATGTTTTTGCTTTTCAAAATGAAATAATCCTGAATGAGCTTTCAAAGCTAGCAGGAATTTCAGGAATTTGTTCCCGGGAATTGATCAATTTTTCTATGATATTTAAGATATTATATAACCCCCTTTTTACATTTCTCAGGAGTCCAAAGAGAGAGAGAGAAAAAAACCCACCCCTTTTTAAAGAAATCTCCGGGTGAAAAGTCAAATACACCCCCTTTTTTTACAATAATTCTCGGGCCGGATTTTGTCGTGCGAAAAAGTACCCCTTTCCTGGAGATTTTAGGAACGCGCATGCGGTCCCTCCAACCCGGAGTGTGTGTGTGTGTGTGTGTGTGGGGGGGGGGGGGTATAGATGAAGACTGAAGTTCCAGACCTGGCGTTTTTAAGACGTACAGTGGCCGTTTGTCTCAGTTCAGTTATTTCAAGGTAAGCCTGTACACATTCTTATTATTTTTATATTTGAGAAAGGATTTGACTGAGATAATTAAAGAATTCATTAGATTTAATTAATAAACACAGTACATGTATCATTATATGAATTCCAGAAACATTTTTTAAGAGGTGTGAAAGCTGTGAACGCATCTGATTGAGAGTGATACATAATACAGTAACTGTTGAATTGCCTACTCGGTGGTTGTCATTTGTTCACACCTAAAACTTAAGGGACGAGGGGATGATATTTAAGGGCTGCAATGCATGTGATGCTTGTGTAGCTCTATGAATGAATTAATGTGTTGTTTATATTGAACGAATTGAATCGAATTCGGATAAATAGGGCTTAATAAGAAACTAAAACAGTGCAACGAATCGTCTTCTTTCTATAAAATCAAACGTCTAAACTTTTCGCGCTTCGCGCGGGAAGGGGGGAACTGAATTCAGACATAGATTAAGAGTCGAGAACAGTACACCCAATCGTAAGCTTTTTCTAATAATTTAAGGAAACGTCAAGGCTTCCGTGCTTCGCGCGAGAGGGGGAAACTGAATTCAGATAAATAGGGCTTATTAAGAGTCGAAAACGGTCCAACGAATCG